AGACGCTCGTGTCGTTCACAACGTTGCTGATGGTTTTTTCAGGAGGCCTCCAGCCCGAAGATAATAAAATGGCAGCCATCAACCCCTGCCAAGCCACAAGCTATCAACTTAGCTGACTATCAAATACTCAGCAAAACTGTGCATTGTCTGGGTCAGAATGAATAAGACTAGCTGTTGAAATTCGAGTTGAATTAATATCTATTATTCGTAGGAAAACTGGAGACAAAGTAGGGTTCAGCCTATAAAGAATTACTAACTAAACTTTATACATCTGAAAGACTTCAAAAGAAATGGGAATACAAAATGACAGAAGAACTAAAAGGCATTTTAAAATGTACAGAATAAAGATATATTTCCAAGGCTGCCTGCTGAGGAAGAAAAACGTGGCTTCGTGTTACGTCTGAGCCGACTTACAGATTCAAACCTTTCTCTTATATACAAAATGCAAATGCCATAATTGATTTTTTATTTTATTACCGCCCGTTCTACTGAAAATATTGCAAACCATCGATATTTTCATAAAGAAGTTCCGGCTACATTTTATTATTACCCAAAATGTGCATGTGTCACACAAATTTAGATGGACCCAAGTTATTGATGCTTTAACCTGAGTCTACCTCAAAGTTTTTCTTTAAACCACAATCAAAAATCAAGAAAATATAAATAATGGTAGGCAAAAAATATTGTAGTACACTCTCTTGGATCTTATATATAATAATGTCGAATATATAATGATTATTAATACCTAAGCCTAGTCCCATTCCATTCCCATTCTTCTGTCTTTAATACGCCTCTCGTCTAAACCATATTCCAATTAGCATACCCCATGCATAATAGGGTATATGGAAGCGTAACGAGATACGGCCGGACGTTCAAAAATAGTGCGAGTGCTTCGAATGGGAGACGGGGAATAGCATTGCATGGGATTGGATGGAATTCGTTTAGATTGGCGGCGTCTTGGCTTTTGTGCCATAAAATGGGCTGCACGCCCTTGAATTTGGCACAACTCATTTGCCGTTGGTGTTATTGCTGTTGTTGTTGCTGGAGAAGAAGCGTGCCAAATGGCAACCGCCGCCATCTGAATGAAATACAGCTGTCCGGAATACGAGGGCAGAGCCCGGCCCAGGCCCAGGAGCAGGCCCAGACCCAGACACCGGCACTGGGCGCATTGGCCACCCCAAAGCGACATGGCTGATATTTTAAGCAACGTTGCATCCGCTGCTGGCTGTGACAACAATACGAGTGCGCTGGGAGAGGAGGCGAGTTGAGATGAGATGAGATGGCGACAGCAAAAACGACTGCGGCACGAGTTTTGCAAATAGCTTTGACATTGACTGCTGTTGCCATGGACATGGTCTAAGCAATGCCCCAAACCACCACCAGCACAACCAGCACCACCAACACAGGGTATCTGTCTAATGAACAGCAAAACTGTCAACTAAACGGGGACCTGGGCTAGGTGGTGGTTGAGTGTTGCAACTCTTGCGAGTGCCTACGCGTTGGGTGTAAAAGGGATTACATTAAATTTCATTTGATTTGATGGAATTGAATTCATTAAGAGCATCCCCCGCTCTCCGCACTTCCAAGTGCATGCGGGGCGGGGACAAGCAGTTAAAAATAACTGCACTCGAGGTACGAAGTCGGCGCGTTGAGCGGCGTCAAGAGCCAGAAGAATGTCTAATTGTTTTTGGGGTGTCGCGTTTTAAACATAGAATACAGCAATGCCACCTCCAGTATCTTGGGAACTCTGTCCAGGGGCCTGTTCCGCTCTGCAACTAAATTAGTCGCATAACGTAAAAATTACATAGTTCTCTGAAACTGGGAATTCCACAAAACAGTTTTCAAGTGTAAGCTATACAATTTTGACGAGAAACACTACTCACAAACTTGAAAGCGAACTGTTGGAAAATGAGGGAAATCTGTCGAAATGCTTGCAATGAAAACGGCATGGCTATTGGAGGGTGGGGGAGAAAGAAACTATCCACAAAAAAAAAACAGGAAACGCTGCGACGACAGCGACGAGTGGGGAAGATGGAATATACAATATTTTGAAAATTACAACAACAACCAAATTATTTATAAAAAGAGTAAACGAAAAGAAATAGCTTCATTAAGTGCCCAAGAAAATAGCTAATTTAATATCTTAAGACTCTCAAGATACGGAATTTAGATAGATTTAGAAATTTAAGACAGCATTAAGAAAATAAGTTGAGTCAGGCTAAGGAAAATGATTGCCTAAAAGACGAACTCGTCTACCCGCTTTAAACTCGTCTCTTTCGCTTTAAAAATGTTATTTAAAATGTGAAAACCTTTTTCCGAATTTTCCAATCTGAAATAATTGCTTTATTCAAACACATTTTGTGCGCCATTGCGAGCTCAGCCCGTGACCTATCCGACACAAATATGGTTGAACCAACTGGTTCGCCGCTGTCGATTGTGCATTGTTTATAAACAATTGTGATATCGTTAAATGTAACACAAGAAAAAAAATCGTACAGGCCCCATTCAAAGACTGACGCTGCGAGCTAGCGCATCTCTCTCGGCCCTTTCCCTCTCTCTGCTCAACTATCTAACTATGTATGTGTAAATTTAGACCAGAAAACATTGATATTCCCATGCGTGGACCATAAATTACACGACAATTACCAAAAAAAAAAAAAAAAAAAAAATAGAAAAAATAGGAAAAGACACACACACGCACTCCACTGAGAAAATTGGATAGAGCGCAGCGTGGCGGACACTTTATCACTGGAGATACCAATGCAAGGGATACGCGACTAAACCGAATCGAACAGAACTGCAGAGAACTGACAACACAGCCTCTCCCTCTCCCCTCGCCCTAGCACATCCACGCACAGACTTTCAGCTGCTGGCTCGCTCATCAGCTGCTCTGGAGCTCACCCTCACAGCCCGCTGGAATACCCTATTTACTTCTCGCTCACACCTCGCACTCACACGCGTAGTTTAAATTGCGCTGCGATGCGTCGTGCCATAAATTTTCTACACATACAAAAAGTTAAAATAAACATTTTCTTTGGCCTTTTCGAAAATATCTTTGCCCATCGCAGTGTGTCAGTCATTCCGTTTGTCAGTCTATCAGTTCGTCATTTTGTCAGTTGTTTAGTCTGTGTATCGATTCAATTATGCATGATCTCCGAATCGGCGCATCATGCAGACAACTGATTAACACGTCGCATCCAAAGCGGCTCCCACAGTGTTGGATCTTCTCGTCTTCAGCTGTAATTTTCTCATTGCCCTTCTCCTAACCTCTCTAACTCTCTCTCTTTCTCTCTCTCTCTCTCTCTCTCTCTCTCTCTCTCTCTCTCTCTCTCTACTCTGATCTGTTCTGCTCTTCTCTTCTCTTTTTTTTTTTTGGCAAAACCTGTGCCAGACACAAGCGCCTATTCACGATCGCGCCATATGCCGGCGTCTCAAGCAAGATGTTGCCGACACTGATTGCCTGACCCAGCGCCAAGCTCTTGCCAGAGTCTGGACTCGGGAGCCGGGAGTCGGCAGACGGCCGTCTTCCGTTGGCAGCAGCAGTTGTGGGTGCAACAGCTGTGGCTTTGATTGCGGCTCAACGAAAAGACAAAAAATAGCAATCAATAGTGCGCAAGCCGGGTGTCTACGACCCGAAGATACCTTGCACCCAGCAACACTGAATCAAGCATTCGACAAATTATCCTAAGCATATGGCATTATCAACATATACTTTAAGAGTTAGGGCGTGCGGATAGAGTTTTATAAAAAGTACTCGAAACGTAAGCCTACATACAATTTTTTGTGTCTGTAGCTCTTCTGGTCTTTAAATTCGGCTTAAGAAACCTCATTTCATAATCGAAAGCTAACGATATTAAGGAAATAAGAGGAATATAAGAATATAATTTGTAGCTTTTAAAGTTTCCGAGCAGACCTGTTACAAACATTTGCACAAAAGCAATATACCCATTTATCAGTAAGTGCAGGAAAAAAAAGACAAAAAAAAGCTAAAATTTCCACTGAGTGTCATGACAGCATTGACCTCAGGCGAATTCTTCAATTTGGGCAACAGTTGCAGTTGCAATTGGCCAAAGCCCACGCGTTGATCAACCCTCCAAATGCCCCCCACAAATCACAATTAAGCTGCAACTGCTGCTGGGACTGGTCCAGCAGCGGGGGCTACCTCAGTGGCAATCGACAGCCGGGCAATAGCTGAGCAAATCCAGCTAAATTATAGGCAACAACGCCAAATGATACCCCAGCAATCATCTTAATGATGAACAGCAGATCAGCGGCTCGCCACGAACAGAACTCTTGGCTCGGATGGGCGCTTGACAGGGCTCAGCTAGACAGAATTGGGAACTAGTAGAGCAATAAGCCAACTGATATCGTATCTAAGCTACACAAATGTAGCAGGTCACTCGGTCAAGTGATGCAAGTTAACATGGAGGTGATACCCAAGCCTGCAGTTGGCAACTAAGCCAGAAGAAAAGAAAATGCCTAAGTTAACAAGTGTGTTCAACGGAAGAAGATTAAAGTGAACACGCAGACAAAGAAGACAATTTAAATATTGTATCCATATTGTTCTTTAATCAGAACTGAGGAACTACCAGAATTTGAATTCTATCTAGTGTTTTTCATAGACTACTCTCGTTTATTTTCACTCACGCGCACTCATAGGCATTATTTTATAACCTCAAAAGAACGTGCCTTTTCATGTGGCTTTCCTCTTCGGTCTCAAATGTTGCTTCAGACAGAGCTGAGGAATTACCAGAACTTGAAGAGTTTTTTATAGACAAATTTCCTTTATTTCCATTCGATTGATAAGCATTCACTCATGGGCATTATTATACAGCCTTTTTCTCTTCAGTCTCGTCTTTGACTGCTGCTTAACAGCGCATCGGCAGGCGTTTAACAGTGGCTTAACATAACAGCGCGCAACACGTTCGAACATGTTCGCGTTGCAAGCGCTCGGCTCGACTCCAGTTGTGCCTGAATCTGTATCTGCACCCTCACCTGCTGCTCGCATTGCGTTTCGTTAGCTCGTGGCGTGCGTTTCGTGTCGGCGGACTTAACACGAAACCCAAGACAACAACAACTACAAAATTCCGATTTCGACAGCGTCGTTTCAACTCGTATTCTCGAAAACAATTCCCAAAGACAACGTGCGTTTGTTTATATTTTTGAAGCAAGTAAAAAAAAATGATATTCACATGAATTTTCTTCTTTTTTTTTGAGTGTGCTCGATATAAGTAAAAAAAATAAATAAAAATAAGAAAAGAGAAACAACTGCGGCGTGGATTACCAGTGTGTTATCTGATGCAACTGCAACAGTCTCAAGAGTTATGAAGTGCATGCATTGGCGCCGCAGCAGCCGCAAGTTGCAACATTAAAAAAAAAAGTGCCAAAACAACAACAAATTTAAATCAATCAAATATATGATTATAATTGTCAGCGCGTCAGTGAAATTTGCCAGCTGTTTATTTACATTTTTTTGCCGTGCCAATTGAGCTTGCAACAACAGGAGGCAGCAACAACAAGAGGTTGCAGCAGCAGCAGCAGCAGCAGCTGAAAATGTGAGTACAGCTAAAACCATAAACCGCTTTTGGCCTGTCCGCGGCACAGCCGCAGCATTTCTCACTTTTACTTTGCCCCCAATTTTGCCCGCCCGCTTCAGATGGATTATGCATTTTTTTTGCGTTTTTTTTTCTTCTTTTTTTGCAAAACGTTGCCCAACATGTGCGTAAATATTGAAAACAACAACTGCAAGTGCAGCGCGTTGTCGCCTCCACTTAAGCTGCATGCAACGCGTGTAAATGCATTAAGGCGTTTCGCTACATTTGTTGTCTTTGAACTGGCCTCGCTCGACGCGCCTTTGGGCATACGCTAGGCGCACTTTGACCTTTTGCAGTTGCCGCCAAATATTTTATAGCCTTTTTTCCGCCAGCCAAATCAGTTGGCGAGCTGCTGAGTGGGCTGTGCCCGCCAGTTGCGGCTGACATTTGCGATGGAGCCGGGGCGAGTGACGCCTTTGAATGGCTTGACAAGTTGGCTCAAATATTCAGATTTCACAGTTTACAAACTCCAAAGTAAGCAAAAAAAAAAAAAAAAAATATATATATATATATAAAATAAAATTATAAATTAGGGGGGAAAACTTTTAGCGAAGAGTGTAATTTTCAAAGGAAATTCCAAAGTGCACTGAATTTTGCCAAGTTGATGCTCGATAACAATTAGGCAAAAAAAAAACTTGATTTCCTTAAAATGGCTTAAAAGCTTCAGCGCGGCACTTGTAACAGTTTTGTAACAGTTGCCTTAGCTGCATTCACAATAGAGTTTTTCTCTCTTTTTTTGTTGAACAGTCTGGCAGCACTAAAAACTACTTTTAATTACATTACCGTACACTACATTAGCTGAAAACACACGAAAAGTTGGAGTCTACTTTTGTTTTAGCTGCAGTTATTGGAAAAACATTTTTCTTTTTGTTAATGTTTTTTATTGAAAAGTCTGGCAGCACCGACAAAAACTTATTTGAAGCAGCTAGTTAGCTAGTGAATGTTGATTTACACAAAGATCTAACGAAGCTAAACAAACGCTTGAGAAAAGAAGGGAAATCGAAGCATATCTTTTTATTCAAAAGGTCATAGTTCTATATTGTCTGACAGCGGCGAAGTAACTTGATTATTTTTACATTGTTTAAATTAGTTGGTATTGTGTGTTCTAGTTCAAAATTTACACACCTAACAACAGCTCTAAATACATAATAATCAACATATTTTGTATGGACATGGATATTGAATATATATTTTTAAATTCAGTAACAATCTTTAAATAGTCTGGCAGCAACAAATACTAGTGATTAGCAGAAAGAATATTAATATAAGCTATATATATTTAACTTGAATTCTGACAATTCAGAAGATCTCAAGTCTCAGCGCCAGCTGCGCACCTGCCCCTGCCGCAGTAGATCATGCCCCAAATGCTAGGCCTGTAGATTGTTGGGTAACACTCATTCAAATTTCTGATTCAATCTCTTGAGTCTAGCACGGCTGAGCTGTGAGTCGTTCTTCGGCAGCCACAATTAGTGGCTCCGTCTTGGCAACTTCGTAGCTGTTGGATGCTCCACGAGATGTCTCTGCACACGTGCGCCCCCCTGCCCTTGCGGCACTCTCGAATGATTTATGACTGGCGATAGATGGAAATAGAAAAGCAGAGAAATAAATTTTGAAAATATAAAACAATTATCAGTGCTTAAGACTCGACAGATTGTGTTTGGTAAATACTTGAATGGAGCCAAACAGAAGACATTTTGGAGCATGGCTGCGGGCAACGCTCGCAGTGAAGTGCTATTGGTCTGCGCGACCAGTCCTTGCCACACCTGGACATTAAAGCGAGGCCCGAGGCCCAGGCCGAGGCGTAGCAAGTTTTGTTGCCCCTCATAATTTGGCCCAATTTGCTGGCGTTGCAAATTGCTAAAATGTCTGGCAACGACAGCCGGCGGAAGTGCAACATGCTCAAGTTACTGTTGCTGTTGTAACTGTACTCGTATTGATTGTGCAGCAGCAAAAAAACAAGCAGCAGCAACGGCTGTGGTAAGCGGAACCCTTCGATACACGATGGCAACACTCGTTCGATCGTTTTGACGCGTCCTCGTCAGCATGTCGAAAGTTTGTGCTGCTTTGCTTCTTTTTTTTGTTGCTGCTGCTGCTTCTACTGCTGCTGCTGCTACTGCTGTTGTTTTTATGAGCCTTGCTGTCGCTTTGTTAGCTCTTTGCATGCCACAAATTATGTTGCTGCCGCGCCCTGCAACGTGCGGCCTGTCAGTCATTCAGCATTTCTGACAACTGATGCGATCAAAGCTGCAGGTTGACGTTGCCTCGTCTCCATTTCCAATTCACAGTGATTTTGTGTTGCAGCTGCCACACGTTGTTGCCGTTGTTGCTGCTGTTGCTGCTGTTGCTGCTGTTGTTGCTGTTGTTGTTGCTGTTGCTGCGTCTTCAATAAGTTCTCATATCGTTAAGTAGGGACGACGTGGTCCATTGTTAATTTGGTTAATTGGAGGCAATTGAAAGCCGCTTTGCAGTTCATTAAGTTCCAGTACAGCATGTCCAGGGGTTTGGGCAGCTTGGCTTCGCTTGCCACAGCATTGTGCTGCATGTGGCAATGTATACTTTTTACGAGCGTGTTGCCTGCCTTGTCGCCAGACTAATTAAAATATTTGCACTCAAATGCTTAAGCAATAAATATTTGTCAAGCTATCATCATTAGACGACGGCGACGACGACGACGACGACCCCAAATGGCAGGCACTTTGGAGCATGCCAAATGGAAATGGACATAAAAGCAACCACAACAACAACAACAACAACAACAACAACAACAACAACAACAACTGCAGCAACAACAACAAACTGCTGCAAATGAAAATGAAAATATAAATGAAAACGAACTCATGAAAATTAAAATGAGAATGAGAATCTATGAGCGGCACTTCTAAAGTGCCCCACTTGGTTTGCCAAGGGGGAGGTGCTGGGGGCAGGCAGTGCTCGGGCGGCCTCTGGCTTGCAGTCAGCTCTGCAGCGCTTCCCCCTAAGGCATTGGCCTGCATTTCGGATGAGCTTTAATGGCGCCGCCCTAATGCAAGTAGAGCGTCCAGTTGTACACCAATTCCGCATCCCCTTCCCCCCTTTCCACCCACGAGGCCCGCAAACAGAACGCCAATTAATAGTCATTGATGGAAAAGTTGAACCAAAGCACATGCAAGTTGAAGTGTGCCCCGTTTTTGGTCTATCTTGAGGGTTGCCAGCTGCCCAACTTCTTGGCTGTTTGTGTGTGTGTGTGTGTATGTGCTTTGTAGTTCGTGGCATGTGCTTTAAGGGTTGGCAGCCAGCCCAAAAAGAAAAAAGAAATAAAATAAAAGCAACGCTGTCAAATTAGCCCAAATCCGAATGGCAAATAGAAAGCCAAATGTGGATTTCAAATGGGCATAAAATTTGCCCATTGTTGGCAGCAGCTTTGCAAAAACCATCAGCGAATATTACGGCTCAGCTGCTTAGGCTCAAAAAAAAAAAAAAAAAAAAACACATAGCTGTTTCGGCATATGGTGACAACTCTAAAGCCAGAAATTAAATTGCTTTCATTATTTTAAGTTCTTCCCTACGCTAATTGCCACAACAATAAAGACAAGCTGATTTTATTTAGGCTGCTAATCTTAAATTCTCATTATACAAATCGACGTTCTCTATGGTTATTTGCTGTTCGATCGCAGTCAAACATATATTTTATTACGCATATGTATATGTATATTTAAATATTATTTTATTTTCCCTTATCTAAAGCTTACGATAAAGCTTGATATTCAATGTTATAATCATTTAATTATTCGTTGTCATCCATGTTCACTTTGATTTGTCTCTTGCATGGTCACTTAATTATATTCAATTATTAGTTAGGAATGTTGAAGAATATTTCTTAGTACCGCTCACATATTTCTATTCAAGCATTAGTTTAAAATGGTTTTTAGCGCCCCTAGTTTTAATTCTAGTATATCTAGTTTCCATATAATAATTATCATCCATGGTCATTTACTGCTATTTAATAATATTTTTAAATATTGCTAAGTGCATTTCCTAACTAAAACTTCAGAGCGTATAACTTTCCAGCCGCCTTATTTATATTTTAATGATAGCATTTATCCAATTAATTTTTTTTAAAGCTCACATTTGTAGCTCGCAACTTTTACACACAATACAACAATTTGTGCATAATTTTTTGTTACCTATTTCCCTACATGAGATAGGGGTAGAGTCTATGTGCAACGGATACTGGGAACTTCCTGTAAAGCAACTCAAGTGATCAATGTATTAGACGGGCATACAGCCATTTATAAAAATTGCATCTACTGGCAACGCTCAGTTACAGTTTAGCGAATAGTTCCCATTACCGACGCCTCTAACCCATCGCCGCGCACCCACCCCGTGCCCATCGTCTTGCGATTTCTAAGCAGCGTCTGCGACAGAACTTATGAAAATGTTTTACAATATCCTTTTTATGTTATTACAAGTGTACGTCCTTGTCGCCAGCTTTGTCAAAATGTCTGGCAACGCTTCAGTGTTTTTTTTTTTGTATATTTTTTGTATTTTTTTTTGTGCGCATTTACTTCTTTCTACTCGCACACAGAAAGACGCCTGAGTGGGTGAAGCGTGGGGCGGGGCAGGTTAACGCCTTCGCCCGTCGACAACTTCGCGCTGCGTTTGAATATGTCATTACTCGTCGCTGCTTGCCACACAGCCCCGAGCCGCCGTCAACTTGCCCCTCTGCTGGCTACACCCCCTCTAAGCAGCAGCAACAATAACAAGAGCAGCAGCAGCAACTACAATGTCGACGCCTCGTCCTTCGGCTCAGTGCCTGCTGCTGCTGCTGCTGCTGCTTCAGCTGAAGCGCGTCAGCAAGAATGTATGCTGATATGTTGCTGTTCTTGTTGTTGTTGTTGTTGCTATTGCTGTTGTCGCTGTTGTCGTCGTCCGACGCGTGTGGTGGGTGGCTTGGCAAACGGAAGTGACAGTTGAACATTCATTCATTCATTCAGTCAAGCCATGCCCAGTACCCAGTACCCAGTAACCAGTATCCCAGCCCGCAGTTGGCAGTTGCCGGTTGCCGGTTGCCGGCTGCCAGTTACTGAATCCCTTAACTCATCCTCCCGCCAACCTCTCCCATTCTAAGACGTCCGACGAGGCAAAAATCAAGCCACCGACGAAGGCGAACATAAAGGAAAAGCTTGACGGGCCAAGTAAAGCAAAAATTCTATGGCAATTTGGCGGCATGTGTGTGTGTGTGTGCGTGTGTGTGTGTGTGTAAGCGAGCTGGTGTGTCTGTCTGTGTGTGTGTGCGAAATGTCTTCGTGGCGCTCCTTGCCGGAAACACAACGCTATGACTGAGCGGAAGTTTTTTGGAAGCGCATAAAATTATTATGGAGTCGTCTTCCATTTTTTTTTCTTGCTCCAACCTCGTTGTCGTTGTCGTTGTCGTTGACGTTGCCGGAGCGTCAATTGCGTCAGGACCTTTGGCTAGCACTTCATAGTCCTGCCAAGCTTTTTATAGCCGGGCCTGGCTCTGCCAACACAACCACTAAGCCAAGCTGTGCGTCTGTGGGTATGTGTGTGTGTGTGTGTGTGTGTGTGTGTGCCTGAGTTCACTTCAGCTTTTGCACAGCTCAAGCAACGATTGGGTTTAGTCGGTGCCTCAGCTCGAGGCTTGTCTTTGGCTGTTTGGTCCCATCAGTATTTCATTTCAATATTTCAATGTATTTGCAGCAACTTGAGCTTGAGCTTCGGCTAGCATTTAACATTTCTTTGTATCTCTGGCCGTATTATTTTTATGCGCAAATTTAATATTTACATTTGGCCCAAGTGGATTTGAGCCCTGCCACAGTTTTATCAACTAACTGACTGACTGACTCTCCGCACAACTTCTTGGCAAGTTCAGTGGCCCGGTTTGACCGCAAATGGTTGTCTTATATGCGCTATCTAAATATCTAGCTAGCAACTTTGTACCCTCCAACCAAATGGCATTTAGATAAGACCAACTTTGAGAGCGTCGCCCGGCCACAAGATATGCGAGAAACACTGGCAAATATTTGCGGCCAACTGTGGCGGCCATTTGCCAAAGGAATATTCCCACACAGAGAGATAATTGCTGCCCAGATATACAATCATACATGCATATATATATGTATAAATATATACATATATAAATATAAACTGCCAAGTGAATGCAATTTAGATTACATTCCATAAGATATTTATCAATTATGTGTGCCGCATATCTAAATTTCAGTCAAAATGACACTAGCTGAATGGTCTATAAAGTCTGGGATTAATCTTGATATGTTTTCTTTATTTTTATATTATATTAGTTATATATCAATTACTAGGTATATGACTTACAAGTACTTACAAGTACATACAGGTAAATTAAGTGATGTTGAATGATTATTGGAAAACTTAAGTATAGTCAACCTCCTTTTTAGAATAGAGCGAACAGCATGTAGTGCTTGATGAGCTTTTGTTTTTAAAGACAGCCTTTTCTACATTACGCAAAGCAATGAAGCACATTAAAAGCGTTTGCAGGTTGGTAAAAGCAGCTAAAAAATGTTCATAAATTTGATTCGATGCGCATTGAGCATATTTGTCAGCATACTTATGTATATACATATGACGGAGGTGTATTAACAGAGTGCATATTGCTTTCTTATATGTAATAGACTTTCTTATTGCTAAAATTGAGAGTGCAATGCGGCTTTTTCTGTGTGCTGTCTCCCAAGATTTTCTGTCAAATCAACCCAATTGACGTCCAGTCAAACCAAAGCAGCATTCAATGACAGTATCTGCTACCTTGCCACGCAAACAGTGTTGTACGGAGACTCAAGTGCTGTGCGCTGCACAACACTAGCTAGTTTAATATCGAAATTGCGCGCACAGCACGACTTATCCCAACTCCGACATATATTTCAGCTGTCATATTAAACTTTGGTGTGACTCATTGCTGCCCCCTGGCAACTTCGCCCGCTCCAACGCCAGCTGTTCCTTATCTTGGCCGACTTCTTTGTGTTCCAGTTCCAGTTAAACTGTGTAGTTGTTGTTGTACTTGCACAACAACCCCTCCGCCAATCCCCAATCCAAATCGAGTAGTCAAAAAAAAAGACAAAACAAAGAAAAGAAAAAACGCAACCCTCTGACAGCTCAGCATTGTGTCTCCTCTAACCCCAACGTCACCCTGTCGCCATGTCGCCTTGTGACAGGATGACTCATGCAGCTTTGTCTCATTTGCTATGCCTATTTTATTTTGTTTATTTTATGTTTTTTTTTATATTTGTTCTCCCCTTTTCGGGCTTATGCCCCTCACCCTCGCCTGCTGCGTAAATTAGCGCATTGGCCAGCTGACTGGGACAGCTGGAACACCCCAGGGCCGCGCTCGGCCAGAGGGTTGCCACCCCCCGAAAAAGACTGAGAAAAAAATAGAATGGAATAGACAAACCCGCGAAGCTTATAACACATTTGCCAGACAGTTCTCTCAATCAGTTTCCGCTATTTCAGTTCTCATTTATTTATTTATATTTTTGAGTGTGTGTGTGTGTTTTTTTTTTTAAACAATTTTCCGTTGAGTTTGTAAAGCATTTCAGAGGACAATAAGGACAACAGGCAACCACTTAACGGTTGTTGCCACGTTCATCCATTTTGTAGCTGTCTGTTCTCCCGTGGCCATGTCCTGGAGTGCGTTTTTTACTCCCACACGCACACACACATGGGCAGGCACACAAACACACACAGGGAAACAGTGGCAGATATATGTACATTTATAGATAGACAGAGACTTGGACTGATTCATTCAGCAAACGGGGCTTGGGTTCCATTTGGTTTGTTTCGGTTTCGTGCTACACGTTTTGTACCTTCTCGTTGTATTTCTGTTTTCATATTTGTTGTTGTTTTTTTTTTTTTTATTGCATCGCATGTTTTCTTATGAATACGTCGCATATATTTCACTTTTATGCCACCCGCGCTACCAACCCCCCTGCACAGTCGCGCCCCTGCGCAACAAACATTTCCGCATGCATTTTCGTTAGGCTCTGGCGCATGCAAAAGGATAATAGAGCCTGGCTCATGAATCATGGCATGCTGTTTATCAAATGCAATCGGAGGCGAGCAAGTCTGCCGGCCGTATGGCTGGAGCTTGGGCTCGGGCTGACTCTCTGAAGGAACAGCCCTATCTGTGGTTACTTACAGGCTCGACCGCTCGACCGCCCGCCCTTCCACAAATATGTCAATTTTTCAATTTGTTACGTGCAGGCATGGTAAACAGTTCGCAAGTACTGAAGCTATCAGCCCGACTAGGAGATACGCTTACCAATACCTTATTCAAGTTTCGGCTTTTTCTTTTCCACAATGCAAATCCTCATTCAAACTCAGCTTATCCGAAACATTGCCCAACAAAATTTTTCTCACTGACCCTCATTTTCCGCAATAATAAAGTATAAAAAACAGCTGCTCTAAATTAACACAAAGATCGATTGGTAAACAACTTATTCTTATAAAATTATTTTCCACCCATTTTCCACAATTGCAAGGCTTTTCTTATCAATTATTGGAGCTTGTTAAATTGGGTATTTAAAAGGTGAATTCCTTATCTGAAATCTTTTGCAGTCGAGTCTTGACAAGTTGGCAATTATTTGGAAGACCGGCCACAAGGAATCTCTTAGGCGAATCGAAAAGAGTTGCAAGCTTTAGATACAAACCTTATATACCCCATAGAGTATTTGTGGGCAAGCGTTGCAATAAAATACATTGCAGAAATTATTGCAACTATTTCCATCAGTTATCTCGGTCTCTGTCTGGACCGTTCAGACTGTCGGTATCTTTCAGCATTTGTCTCCGGCTTTTGCGTAATTCAACTAAAAACTTGCATTAGCAGCATAAAACAAGAACTCTGTGGGCTGGAAGAACTATTTGATATATGTGTATGTATGTGAATGTGCATAGCGATTGTTGCTACGAAATTTTCCAGCTGCTTCGACTCTCGGTTGTCGGTCGTCGGTCGTCGGTCATTTGGCCAATGCTCTTGGCCAACAGCTGCGCTTTGTGGCCATCCGTAAACCAGTTGGAATTTTGAGTTGTGGTCGAAGCTTAGTGGACAGCCATGTCAATAGAATATGGCATCAAATTTAGCTTGAAATTAAATCCAATTTGACTCCAGCCAACCGACAGTGTGTTTAAAGCTGTGCCTTAGACACATACCCTCTGTGTGCCATAGGAATGGCCACTAATCAATTTTCAATACACATGAAAACTGCAACAATTATGGCCATCAGCTAGTAAATCCCCTTACCCTACTGCTTGTAATTATGAGGGCTGCATAAACATGTCGATTTTATGCGAAAAATGCGTGCCTCAGCTAGACGAACCCGAGCAGACCACAGCAGACCAATCGGCCCACTGGCTATAATATGTCTAAGAAACATTTTGTGATGCCCGCCCCCAAAGTACCAGGACAAAGGCCCCAACAGCCAAATGCGGAAGCCGGCGCGACCTAACACGACTCGTGCGTGTTTATGGTCTAAACAGCAGCAGCAGCAACTACAAGAATTTAACAACAATTGCGCACAATAACAACAATTAATATGTACACAAGAAAACCTCAAATTAATAAGCTGCCTTCTACACAAACTCTACTCATATATATTGATATAAAAATATATATATATATATTTATTTACATATGCTATTATTATTGTTCTTACAGCTTTGACAAAGTCGCTGCCACAGACGAAGTCGGAGGCAGCCATAGCCTTGAGAGCAGCGGTAAGTCTATTTGTCAAATACTCCTCATAGACGAGCAGTCATATAAACAAATAAAAGTACAAATACTCGATGAACTTGGCCAAAAAGTTCGCCACAATAGTATTTGATCATTTGCTATCAAAATTTCTCAAATAATTGTTAAAATAACTACTACGAGTGGTTTACACTTTCATCTTATATCAATCAATAGGTTATAGCGTGTGGGTAAAAATGTTTACTTAGTTGACCGTAAGAGACAGAAGGAGAAACTCCAATTGCAATGAAATATATTTATTTTTCTGCATCAAAAGTAGAGTTTGGCTGTTTCTACATAGACGAGTCCCTCAGTCTTAAAGATGCGCCCATAAAACTTCGCATGTATATATATACATATATATATATATATATATATATATATATATATATATATATATATATATATATGCATATACATATATAACACTTTTTTGTAAATATAGCCAAACAAAAATATAAAATAGATTAATGTGGATTTAAGTGCACATGTTTTGTACTCCACATTAATTATGCATGGGGCATGATGCATTTGACAGTTTCAACTAGATGAGATTTGCATTGTGTTTGTTTTCACTGGTCCCGGGCTAAATAAGTTTTTATATAGAGCAGCTTATGACAAGCTTCCTCTATGCACTACAAAAACATAGCAGCAACAGCAACAACGACATGAACAACAACAACCTGAACAACGTTGTGGGGCACTGACTGCCCACGCCAAGCCCTTGGAGAGCTGCCGCTTGGGCAATCGTCGTTGCCAGCATTGAATTAAGCGCTGCAATCGCAGTGGCTGACAACTCTGGCACTTGCTTGCTAAAGCTGGCAACTCTTTCTCTCTCGTTCTCTCTCTCTCTCTCTCTTTCTCTCTCTCTCTCTCTCTCTCTGTCTCTGTCTGTCTCTTTCTCGGGGTGTGCGCTCGGTGGCTCGAGTTTGGCGCTCATAATAATTAGTTATAATCGGATTTAGTTGGACGACGCTGGCGTTGTCGATGGCGACAACGTTGCCGAAGGTGTCTCTTATGGCCGGGCTTTTAGTGTTGTTGTCGTTGCACGGTCTTTGCTATTGCAAACACGCCCACACATAAACAACCTGAACGACCACAAACGAAATGAAAAACCATAAAGAAAAACTCAAGCTCAAACTCGATTGCGGCCGTGAGTGGGTCGCGCAGTTAGTTGTTGTTGTTGTTGTGGTTGTTGTTGCAGTTGTTGTCTATGCTAGTTCATTATTATGCTCTTTTCTAACACGTTTTGATTCGATTCGTTAGCCCAAACTCTGAATGCACTAAGCCAGCCAATAACTAAGCCAGCCAGCGCCTGACATCGACATCCACACAAAGTTTTCCAGGGGGCGCCCCACAACAAGGCCCCGCAACCGAAACCCGAATTCAATCCAATCCAATCCAAAAACGAAAAAAAAAAACAGAAGAAAAAATAAAATAAATAAATAAAAATAAAACCTGTATAGAAAAAGTCTTTTATATGTATGCATGCATGCATATATATATATATAGATATATATATATACCATATATATATCTAAATTTATTGAATTGATTTGTGCTTGTATTTCTTTTCGATTCCAAATAGTTTTTTCTTTGCTGTACGTTCACCTGTGCGCCCCGTTGGTTGCACTTTCTGCGCCCAAATGCTGCGTCATGCGGCCATTGAACACGGGGGGCTCCAGCGGCGGCTTTGCCTCCGACTTTCGGTATATAACTCAATTAGCTGGTGCACGGTTGGGGTACCTAGAGCCAGCCATGTGGCAGCTATGGCTGCAGCTAAGGCACACAGAAATGTCATATTTGTCAATTGAGGGCGCATTGATTGCATTCTAGATTGAGATGGAGTATAAGAGTATTATTGAGAATAGACGAGTTAAGAATACAGATTGCATTCTATGTTTAAATTGTCTTATAAGTGTTTCGGTATAGTACTTACTATACTATTGAAAACTAGAAAACTCAGTTACTGTAACATTATGTTAAATGATTGTTATAGGTATATCGGGTTAGGTGTAGAAATTAAGGTGAGTGCAACAGCAATAAAGTGTTTGAACGTTAATATATGTATAAGAATATATGATTACATAAGTTAAGAAGTATACGTATATAAGTACAAAGCACGACGAGTATACGATGAGTACACGAACTGAAACTTAACGAATATTCTGAATATACAAGTGAAATTGCCAAATATTTGTGAGCTAATGCAATGTTTTGAGGAAAACAAAAAGCTTTAATACTCGAGTATTTTAAAAAGTTTTTTTGAAACAGATTTAGTAATCGATTACATTGAGAGTATGACTACTACTGAGAATTTGTAATAGAAGTATTTTAAGTATCTGAACGAGTATTACGAATGAAGACGTGAGCTAGTATTAATTATAATAAGAGCAACGAGTATGAATATGAGTATATGTAAGTGAACAGCCGTAGTTTATCGTTCGATTCCGTTAGGGTCTAAAATCTAGTTTCTTGGGCATTTCCCAGTCAAACAAAAATTTCAACATAGTCTCCAATTGTTATTGTTGTTGTTATTGTTGCTGCGTGCGGCAAGCGGGCGAACGAAATGAATTGGTATGGATCGATCTTGGCCAGCCCACACGGCCTTTTCACGTCAAGAGTCTTATGGCAAAAGTGTGGCTCGAAAATTGTATTTTAGTCGTTTCTGTGTGTGGGCGAGCGAGCGAGCTGGGCTGGCATCGAGCATACAAAACGATCGACGGGGCATAAAATATGTTAATAAGGCTTAAAGTTATACAAAACTTAAGTCTAAGACGGAGATGGAGATGGAGATGGAGAGGGGCCCAAGAAACTGGCCAAACTATTGTAATACAAAACCATAAACATGAATTTCTTCACAGATTTTGACAGCACTTTGCAAATGGAGTTGGAGTTGGAGTCGGCGTCGGAGTTGCAGTTGGGTTCAGAGTCGGAGCTAGAGTTGGAGTTGGAGTTGGAGCTGTCGCTGACCAGACAGCTGGCAAGATGATTTCCAAGTTGTCTTGCGTGTCATTTCGATGCGAAGCAGATTTGGGGGATCCAATTCTCTCTCTCTCTCTTTCTCTGCTTCTTTATATGCCTGCCTTAATTTCCTGCTGCGCCCCTTTGCTCGACTTAAGCTTGTTGTTCCTGCTGCTACTGTAGTTCATGTTGTTGTTGCTGCTGTTGTTGTAGTTGTTGTTTGCGCTCTCGTTGCGGCGGCAACATCTTCTTTTCTCAATTTCGGCTTCGCACGCTACTTCTCCCCAGCCGCAGAACCACATCACGAAATCAGTTAGGTTCAGGTGTTCAATTTACTGATTGAAATTCTGTTTCGATGTGGCTGGGCAACTTTCGTTGAGCGTCCAGTTTTTTTTTTTGGTCTTCTTCTTCTGCGCGTTGTTGTTGCTGTCAACTTTTTTTTTTTTTTTTAATTTTTTTCGTTTTTTTTTTTTTTTGGTCTTTTCTGATTTTCTGCTTGTTAAGACGCGCGCATCGAGCGGAGTTTTTGGGGGGCCACATATGATTTTTTTTGTTTAATAATTTTATGCTTGAACGTTGTAGCATGTCAGGAATTATGTTAGAATTATGCTAATGATGTGCCCGCTCCTCGGGCAGCAGCTTAGCGACCAACCTGAGCGCTCGTCGAGGCAGCTAATCGAGAGGGCAGCAAGAAAAAGGCCCGCAAAGTGAACTGATTAAATGTCAAAACGATAAGCTGGCAAATGTTTGAGCCCCTTTCTGATCGAACCCTTTCCCCCCCCCCCCCTCCCCCTCTCGTCGTGCAACCACATACACGTTTGTGGAGAGGCGAGTGAGTGGTCCTTTTTATCTCGCATTTCCTGCGCACAGGACGAAACTGAAGTTTTGCTGAGTTTGTAGATATGGGACTATTCTCTTGAAAGGACCACCCACGTGGCTCCAATACCAGTAGCTGTTAGCATATGCGTGTGTGTGTGTGTGTATGTGTGTGTGGGGCTGCTAGGGACTACCATTAATAGGCGATTTAAGTTTATTTTTTGCCCGTTGGCCTCAGTCTTTTATTGACACTGGTACGAGTTGCCCTTGGAGCATTTTGCATGGCGCCTGCCAAGTGCTCCACACATTTCTATTGACTACACTCTTCGATACAATCACCCACCACCCGCGCCGCCCTGCGCCATCAGTTAGTTTGGATTTGTTGGTTTTGCTTTGACTCGGGCTCTGGCTTGGGCTCGGGCTCGGGCTCGGGCAGGGGATTGGGTCTAGGCTTTGGCTTTGCCACTTGGCCCTTTACGCATAGGAGCAGCTGCCTTTTAGTTGATTTGTTCAAGCAAACAAACTGACAACAAAGTGCAACACACACACGCACACACACACACAACCACACACACACACACAACCACACACACACACGAGCACACACTAACGCACTTGGGACTGTGCACAAATTGATTTTAATTGTTAAGCATTCCCTTTTTTAATTGTCCTAATCTCTGCCTAACCCTGGCCTGCTCCAATATCCGTTACCTTTTATCTGTTGCCATCTGTCCTTGTGCCTCTTTCCACCCTCCCAACAGCATCCCCTCATGCCCGACACTTTGCAGTTGCCATTTTCATTTTCTCAACAAATGTCCTTTAAGTAGCCCCTTTTTTGTGAGGGGTTAACCGGTCCCGAAAGACTACTATGTGTGTGTGTGTGATTGTGTGCGTGCGCCTGTGCGTGTAAGTTAAGTCTGAGTAAAAGCAGTTGGTTTTGGCTTACGGTACAGTTAACACTTTAACTGTTGGTTAATATGACAGTTAAAATTGAGCTTGATTTGTTTTCTCTCTCTTTCTCAATCGCATTGACTTGCCTTCTCTCACATATGCATGAACTTTTGTGTTTCTTTCTGCTTCCCTCTTTGAGTCTCGCTCTAGCTCTCTCTCTCTCTCTCAGTCTCCCTCTCCCTCTCTTTCCTTCTATGTCAATAATTCTTTCTTTCTATCCATTTCCTTGTTCACTCTTTAACCACAACTCTTCTTT